ATTTGGGATTTTGCGACGAACAGAGCTTCCCTTGTAGAAACCTTGGCTTGGCAACAGCAGGAGGACAAAATAGTACTGTAATAGTGTTCATATAGCGGAAAGTACAGTATGTAACAGCATGGATCAATAGAATTTTTATATTCGAATCTTCTGAGACACTGGTATGATTTAAAATCATGAATCAAATAAAGATCGCATGAATATGCGTATGAAAATTCCCCGCAAGGGTAAGATCGAAATAAGTAGTCATGGCAAGTTTTAAAAAAATCAAAATGGGATGTATATTCCAATGGAATCAAGAAAAAAGAACATAAAAAGGAAATAAGGGTTCGCTCTTTGGAGGGGAAGGTTGTAACAGCAGCACGGCTTCGTCTCGGGCCAAACCGCTTCACTAGTAGGCATATTTCTTCAGTACTAGCACCTGATAAGCGGATGGATCAAGATGATTTTAATAAGTTACTATTTAAAAAATTGGCCGATACTAAAGATTTTCGTGTCAGGACCCGTGCTGAAGAAATATAAGCCAATATAGTTAGACGTTGAAATGACACAACACTGGACAAAGTTTGAAACCGAGTCGATAACAATTAACAAATACTTCGATACACTATCGAATTCTGACTAGTTCATAGAGAAGTATTAAGCATCTAACTGCCTCATGAAATACAACTCAAGTAAGTAAGTTTCTAGTACAATTCAAGTAAGTTGCTAGTGTGGAAGTAAGCAAACAAATGAAAGCAGGCTACCGAGGAAATTCACTGATATAAATGCGTTCAGTATGCTTTGGTGAGGACGGATTTACAGTGCCAAAACCGTTTATGCCTTCTCGTGGGTCTGGCTCCGGTGTCAAGCCATTGGGCTAGAGCATCTTGACGCTTACATTCTTCGCCAAGGTCCAATTCTACACGCTCCAGTAACTGAAAAGTTCAATGTGTTGTAAAAATGATCTCACAAGCGAAATGGGAAAAGAAAAGATAATTCACAGTGTTTTCACTTGTCATATTAGTGCTAATTGGGAAATTCTGGTAATCTCATCTGTGAAGGCGAAGTTGGCTCGAGTATGCGGAAACAATAGCGCGCATATGCGCGCGGTCTGCATCGCTCGACGTGAATTCTATTGCACGAAGACGTCCCGAGGAAATATTGTCTGGGGCAACGGGTTTACCACATCGCTACACTGCGCACATCAACAGCGCCGGCGGAGGCTCGTGCATCATATAAAGTAATCGGCTACCCCCAAGGTGGGTCTGATAAGCCCCTATCAGGCGGTGTGTTGACATACACGAATTCGCAATATGCCGCGGTTTGGGCGTGACCCAGGGAGCCGGCGTCACAGCGGGAGCGTAGTTGTTGTCGCCGGCGTTTTGAATAATGCCGAAGGGATGGGAAAATCAATTATCACTCTGCATGGAGTTTTGCCTCTACTTGAATTCACAAGAGTTTCGCTGCTCCAATCGAAAATTTAATGCTCATCGATAATTCGCCGTTTACACAGCACAATGCGTCCGCGCGATGTCGCGACAGATGACGATTGCGTTGTCTGCTTGCCCTGCTAAAGATGTCTGTACCTCTTTGGGAACCTTCGCAATCGTCGACGAGTGCCGCGCCCCTTTTTACCCTCAGATGTGGACTGTCCCCAACATCCATAAAGCAATCACGTCTCGCATGAGGGAAATCGCTTTCCAATTCACGAGGTCTGATTCACTTTGATACCACGAGTGAACCATGTCGACTTTTTATAAAATGTGATTACTCAGTAACTTTTAGAAAGGTCACTTTTGAATAGAAAGCTGTGGGGAAAATTGAAAATATCGTCAAGTGCTTCAAGCAATATCTGTGAAGGGATAGCAAGAAGGACTTTTCTGTCTGTCTGCGATTTCCAAGGCTAGAGGAGATGGAAGGAAGGTCGCTGAGCGAACACTTTTTTCATCCTAATGAACATTACCGCTGCAGAGGGCGCGCTGCCCTGCTGCGACTTCCCTGACCTTCCTTTCCAACTACATACCTCCGTAGGTGGCATACCCGTGAGGGGGCCTTGGTCTCAAAATGCGAAGTAAAGTATGTACACACGGTCGTTTTCGATGAAGTCAGTCGAGGCAGCCGATCGGAAAAGGCTAGCAACTCGCGCCAAAACCCATGCCCGCCTGAACGCTTAGACTGAACAGCTATAACGAGTGTGTAACGAATATGTGTTGTTAATGTTTCCAGGCCAATTTCCCCCCCCCCCTGACAGATTTTTATGTCCTCCTTTGTCTCGACCCTCTCGCAGCGATGCCTCTTGTTGCGGCCAGCTACGGGCTAGATGTGAATGAAATTGAGACAATTCAATACATAAATAAAAGCATATAGGATTAACTTTCAGAATCCATAGAAGCCAACATTATTTATTCATACCTGAGGAGATGCGAGCCGAAGATGTTCTTTCAATTGATGAATACACTGCGTGAAATTCGGGCGCTCATTCGGATCTTTATCCCAGCATCGTGTCATCAAATCGTAACTAAAATTTGCAGTTTCACGGTTTGTCTTTTTTCATATATGTAAGAAGTGAAATAGTACGATATATAAATTCCATTAAAGAGGTCTTGGGATTCCCTCAGCCTCTGATGACGGCGCCCCGAGGCCCTAGTCTTCGGTAGCCATCCCACAATGCTGTAGATCGGTTAGATTCAAAATAATAATGGCACTTTAAGTGCAATGTTTACACGGCACTACATAATATGCTGGGTTATAGGCAATTGACGTAAGACGTTTTGCCTTACCAGTGGTTGATTTGCACAATGTTCGTGGAGGTGTGGTGAAATTTTTTTGAAATACACATTCTTCATCAAACGAGGTGTAACAGCGACACGCCGATCAATGAGCGTGGAACGTGAACAGATTCTGAGTCAGTTGCAGCGTGGGGGTATAGCTCAGTGGTAGAGCGCTCCCTTAGCATGGGAGAGGGCTGGGGTTCAATTCCCCATACCTCCAGAACTTTTGCAAATCTACCACTGTAATCAAAACTCTTACGCAATCCGCCTATAACCCAGCAATATTTATAGTGCCGTGTAAACATGCACTTAAAGTGCATTATATTTGATCTAACCGATCTACTGTGGGATGGCCTACCGAAGCACTCTAGGGGCCTCGGGCGGTCCATCAAGGTTGAGGGAATCCCAGACCTCTTTAATGGGAATTTATATATTCATACATATTTTAGCTTCTTACATATTTGAAAAAAAGACAAACCGTGAAACTGCAAATTTTAGTTACGATTTGATGACACGATGCTGGGATAAAGATCCGAATGAGCGCCCGAATTTCACGCAGTGTATTCATCAATTGAAAGAACATCTTCGGCTCGCATCTCCTCAGGTATGATAAATAAAGTTGGCTTTTGATATCTAAAGATGATCGTAATACTTTTATTTTGTTTGGAATTGTTCAATTTCATTCACATCTAGCCCGTAGCTGAGCGCAACAAGAGGCATGGCTGCGAGAGGGTCGAGACTAAGGAGGGACATAAAAATCTGTCAGGGGGGGGAGGGAGAGTTGGCCCAGAAACAGGCATATTCGTTACACACTCGTTATAGCTGTGTCAGTCTAGGCGTGTCAGCGGGGCATGGGTTTTGGCGCAATGCCAGCCTTTTCCATCGGCTGGCCTCGACTGACTTCATCGAAAACGACCGTGTGTACATACTTTACTTCGCATTTTGAGACCAAGGCCCCCTCACGGGTATGCCACCTACGGAGGTATGTAGTTGGAAAGGAAGGGGTCAGGGAAGTCGGCAGCAGGGCAGGCGCCCCCCTTTTTCTGCGCGTGTATGTTCAATTAATGAAAAAGTGTTCGCTCAGCGATCTTCCTTCCATCTCCTCTAGCCTTGGAAATCGCAGACAGACAGAAAAGTCCTTCTTGCTATCCCTTCACAGATATTGCTTGAAGCACTTGACGATATTTTCAATTTTCCCCACAGCTTTCTATTCAAAAGTGACCTTTCTAAAAGTTACTGAGTAATCACATTTTATAAAAAGTCGACATGGTTCACTCGTGGTATCAAAGTGAATCAGACCTCGTGAATTGGAAAGCGATTTCCCTCATGCGAGACGTGATTGCTTTATGGATGTTGGGGACAGTCCACATCTGAGGGTAAAAAGGGGCGCGGCACTCGTCGACGACTGCGAAGGTTCCCAAAGAGGTACAGACATCTTTAGCAGGGCAAGCAGACAACGCAATCGTCATCTGTCGCGACATCGCGCGGACGCATTGTGCTGTGTAAACGGCGAATTATCGATGAGCATTAAATTTTCGATTGGAGCAGCGAAACTCATGTGAATTCAAGTAGAGGCAAAACTCCATGCAGAGTGATAATGATTTTCCCATCCCTTCGGCATTTATTCAAACGGCCGGGAGAACAACTCGTCTCTCCGCGTGCGCGGCTCGCTGGTCACGCCCAGCGCGGCATATTGCGATTCTGTTGTCACGCACCCGCCGATATGGGCTGTATCAGACCCACCTTGGTGTGCCGTTACTTTATATGAATGACGAGCCTCCGGTCGCTGTTGATGTTGCGCAGTGTAGGATTTGTAACCCCGTGCCCAGACGTATTTTCGGGACGTTTTCGTCCAATAGAATTCACGTGAGCCGAGTGCCGCGCCGCATATGCGCGCTTTGTTTCCACATACTAGAGCCAGCTTCACCTTTACAATATTTCCAAATTTCCCAATTAGCACTAATATGACAAGTGAAAACACTGTGAATTATCTTTTCTTTTCCCATTTCGCTTGTGAGATCATTTTTACAACACATTGAACTTTTCAGTTACTGGAGCGTGTAGAATTGGACCTTGGCGAAGAATGTAAGCGTCAAGATGCTCTAGCCCAATGGCTGACACCGGAGCCAGACCCACGAGAAGGCATAAACGGTTTTGGCACTGTAAGTCCGTCCTCACCAAAGCATACTGAACGCATTTATATCAGTGAATTTCCTCGGTAGCCTGCTTTCATTTGTTTGCTTACTTCCACACTAGCAACTTACTTGAATTGTACTAGATACTTACTTACTTGAGTTGTATTTCATATCAGTTAGATGCTTAATACTTCTCTATGAACTAGTCAGAATTCGATAGTGTATCGAAGTATTTGTTAATTGTTATCGACTCGGTTTCAAACTTTGTCCAGTGTTGTGTCATTTCAACGTCTAACTATATTGGCTTATATTTCTTCAGCACGGGTCCTGACACGAAAATCTTTAGTATCGGCCAATTTTTTAAATAGTAACTTATTAAAATCATCTTGATCCATCCGCTTATCAGGTGCTAGTACTGAAGAAATATGCCTACTAGTGAAGCGGTTTGGCCCGAGACGAAGCCCGTGCTCTGAACTAATTCCCCTCCAAAGAGGAACCCTTATTTCCTTTTATGTACTTTTTTCTTGATTCCATTGGAATATACATCCCATTTTGATTTTTTTAAAACTTGCCATGACTACTTATTTCGATCTTACCCTTGCGGGGAATTTTCATACGCATATTCATGCGATCTTTATTTGATTCATGATTTTAAATCATACCAGTGTCTCAGAAGATTCGAATATAAAAATTCTATTGATCCATGCTGTTACATACTGTACTTTCCGCTATATGAACACTATTACAGTACTATTTTGTTCTCCTGCTGTTGCCAAGGTTTCTACAAGGGAAGCTCTGTTCGCCGCAAAATCCCAAATACCCACAGAATGTTTTCGCATGCTTCTGAATGGAATAAGCTTTTCTGCTGAATAGCTGGTGGCAGAAGGAGATGTACAAAAGCTCCTCAAAGACTGCCGAGGTTTCAAGATGAGAGGAGTTACAGACTACTATAACAACACTACAGCGCTTCGACAGGTATGACACCTGCCACTTCGTCACCTCTGTCTGGCCCCCATGTTGAGTCTTGTTAATAGAGGGACCCATCATGGAATGGCAGGTGGAATCGGTTCCCATTCAAGGGCAAGGGATTAGATCCTGGTTGAGCCGCAACCGGGCTATTCAAAACATTTCAAAGAACTGAGGCGAGTTAGTTGGCTCTAGACTTGTCTGGATGGATAATTAGCTCACTTCTGTACTAATTTTCTTTTCGTAGCCTGCACTACAAGGCACTATTTTGCTTTCAAACCATTTGAGCCTTTTCTTTCTAAACCGGACAGTTAATACATATACAATCCCAACATACTTATCGAATTTTTTCATGTATAGGCGGAGGTGGGGTAGTGGCAAGTGACACGCTTAGGCTGCGTTCATACTTTGCGGCAGCGTCCACCAGCGACCAGCAGCGTCTCGAGGGCTAGGGAAGTATAGGTATCGATCTAGCGACCAGCAGCGTCTACCAGCGTCCACCAGCGACCAGCAGCGTCCAGGAGTGGAGAGTATGGGGCGATAGGAGGGTAGCAGACAGCTGGTAGAGTATGGGGAGATAGGAGTCTGCTACCCACCTATCGCCCCACGCTCTCCACTGCTGGTCGCTGGTGGACGCTGGTAGACGCTGCTGGTCGCTAGATCGATATCTATACTTTCCTAGTCGCTGACGCTGCCGGACGCTCGGAACGCTAGCGGTCGCTGGTGGACGCTGCTCCGAAAAGTATGAATGCAGCCTCAGCAGGCGCGCGGTCCTGGAGTCAAATGTCGGACCTTCTCCCGACCGGGCCAACCAAGCCTTCTACATTCGGAGGACGGTAAATTGGTACCAGATTTTTCATGGAGTAAGAAGAGTGACGTGTACATTGGCTGCACCACTAAGCCACTACAATTCCGAATGGAAGTAGAATGCGTGTTGCATACCGAAAAGTGACAGGATCAGCGAGATCAGGAGAAGACGTCATCCTTTTTGTCAGAAGAGCAAACGCCTCCCTTGAAATCTAGGGTACCCACTTTGTGCTATCCTTACCCAGCAAACCTTGGCTTTTCCAGTGAGTGAATGCTAAGTCATAGTGTTCAGGAGAGAAACAAAAATTGCTCATTGTTGCAAATGTCTGCCATTTTCCAATTTGAGGATGAGCAAGCACTTCTTTGATGAGCGATGTTTAGTATGACTAAACGCTTGAACATGTGAACTGGTCAGGAAAACCTGTGTCATACGGAGATTTCAAAAATTAATAAAGCGATCAGAATCGCTTGACAGTTAACATCATAGCATTACCTATGCCATGAAAGGCTTGGTCCATGATGTCATCAGAGCATCGAGGCGTCGGAAAAA